TACCTTACGAAAATGAAATTAATCTTTTGATGTCTTCTTGTCAAATCAATTTAAAGATTATTCACATGAATTTGATGCAGAAAACTGACAACTGTTGCGAGAAAACAAAGTGAATGATGGTAACTTATTCTTCAAAAGGTTTAAGGGGTAAAACTTTCTTTATCGAAGAACAAGGTGATCGGTTATAGAATGAAAATAATTGAAGAAAACCCAGAACAAGCTGACAGCTGAAGTTAACGAACAAAGGAGGTCAAGCAAATACTGTTTCAGAACTATCTAATTTTGGAAATAGTAAATTTCCATTTATATTTTCACCGAGGCTTTGTTTTGCGCTTTGCGATTAGATTTATTGATTACAAATACGAGAGTATTTAAAAATATTATCATTCGGTTTATGGAGAACTGAGACCGTTGATCTAAGTTTTCAGGTGGTTGAATAGAACAGAAGTCTGTTGATCGATTAGTTACTGTTATGTTGAGTGCAAATTTAGAATAACATTCCATAACCATTGTATCATTACATTATTTTCAGGTTCATAGTATATATCAAAATGGCTCGGTATTACAAATTAGAATCAAGTTTACACTTGCTGTTTGTCATTCCATACTCAAATTAAATGGCGACCTGACAACTCGTTAAATGTCATTAAAAATGCCCCGCTAGAAGCGACTAAGTTAAACTAACTTTTTGATCATGATCGTCAAATTACAGTTTTTTTCTACAATGTTTGGGACACACATTCTAGTAGTTTTGAATAATGATTAGAGTTTCATTTCCAATACTCCAGGAGTTTTAAAGTTAGGGAACAGCAACGATGTTTGTACATATGCATAGGGGTAGCTAAGTTGAACTTAGCTGTTGACCATATCTTTCAAGATTTCCTTCTTCGTACGTGACACGCGTGAATAATCATTACGAAGTTTCATATACAACTTCGAATGGGTTTTTAAGTTGGAGAGCTGAAACGATTTGTTACGAACACTCGGACGGACTAGATAATACTAGTACATTTTGTTCTTCCTCCGATTAATCGGCGTGGTTCTAACAATAGAGGAGCGAACATTAACGGTCAACCTCTTTCAAAAATAGTTCAAGAACGTATTAGAAACTGTTTGTGTAGCAGATTTATCATCTAAGGTATAACAAGGAATGAGCTGTCAAATTAACAGCACATTTGGTGTTCTGTATTTTTAAAAGCGCTTTCAGGCTTTCTTTTTCTGCCACATTCTATGTAAATTTTCCAATCTATTAAGGACCATCATTCCTCAATATCAAAAGTAAAAATCGGCATCATCAAACTTGACCACTATTTTGTCAAAATTCTGAGAGCATTAGTTGAACGGTTTATAAGTAATTGCACGAGACATAGTGCGATTTTTCTATCTATCAAGAACGATAACTCCTGGACGGCAGAAGTGAAAAATCATCAATATCCAACTTGACATCCATTTTTTCATCAGTAAGAGCATTGGTCAAGTTGTTGGATGGTCCACATAAAGTTCCATTTTCCAATATATCAAGGACGATAACTCCTGAACGGTAAAGGTGAAAATCGTCAATATTGATCTTGACCTCCATTTAGTCTTCAAAAACAACATATTTTAATTAAAAAAAAACATTCGATGAACAGTTCATAAGTTATTGCATGAAAAATGTTGGCAGCCGCCCGCACGCTCACACACCCACACGCCCACATGCCTGCATTCCCAACCGGTGTACTTCCGCAGTACTTCACCAATTTGATAACTGGATTCTGATAACTCAGTTTAATATGGAATAGTCATCATATTTTTTTTATAGAATTACGGATGCTAATTTGTTCATTTTCTCCTCTATGTTCTTAATAGTAGCGTGCTCGACATGAGTAGGGAAGGTCATGGGTCGGGTAAAATCAAAAGACTTGAAAATTGGGTAGTTGTTGCTTCTCCGCTAAGCAAGTGGAATTTAGCAGTAAAAGAAAAGGATGGTTGGCCAGGAGTCAAAATGATTTGTAAAGTTAGAGTTACCTTGTTTACTAGCGTGTTAAATTCCGGCTCAGTGTGTCAATCATGTACAAAGCAGGGTTCATACATATATCACATTAACATGTTCTCATCCTGAATGTGTATTTCATTTGCTGCTAGATTGCCATTCATTATTATCGTTTATTTTCCGTTATATTTAACCGTCCATTGAGTTTTAAATTCACATTTTGTAATTTTGACGCTTGCATTCCTATTTGACCTTGAATAAAGTTACGTTCATACAGTTTTCGTAAACGGCATGTGTTGTCACCAAACTGTACATGAATTCTTCGCCATGTGTCTTTGTTGTTTGTCTTTTCATCGTTTCTCGGTTTGTTTTTTGTTTTGTTTTTTTGCAATGGTGTTGTCGGTATTTCTTCGAGCTATGACTTTTGATTATTCCTTTGGTATCGTTTTACCCATCTTTAAATATGCACTTAGTTAATTTTTGTAAGTGTTAACATATTTTACTCAAAGTTGTTCAACCTAGTTGTTCAGATTAATTTGACTACAACGTAAATGTAAATATTCATACATGATCACTTTCCTTGATACAATTGTATGTCATTCCTTTCTAATTTTTCTTCAAAGACTGTCTAAAACAAATCCACGTAAATGAACATTATAATTTAGCCTTTATGAAAGCATAATTATTTTGAAATGACCAGCAATTGACGCCTTTTTTATACAATATGATAAGCTACAATTGTTTCCCCGTCAATGTCATATAATAAGATTAAGCATGATTGCCAATGAGACAACTCTCTACCAAAGACTAAACAGTTTTTGGTATTGAACTATCTTATACTAATTGAAAACTTCTATTTTTTATGGATGGAATTCTGTCAAGGGGTACGCCAGATAATGGTCAAAACATAGAAAGAAGTCGTCTAATATTCTTTTCCAAATTAGGTGAAGCTGTGAGGTTGTTGATAGTAAATATAGATAGGTAGATAAATTCACGGGTCTAGGGAAACTCAGACAAGAACACAATGGTGGCATAAACGGTCTTACTACCCTACCAAATATTTTGTAGTTTCCGCGAACAATACCTGAAAAAATATCGATCTTTTTTGTTTATTAATTATTTTATTATATAAACTCCTTGATTATGAAATATGGTATTGACATTTCACTTGCAAACCCATTATATCCATTTACTAAAGAAGAAATCCAGGAAAATCTTAGATCTCTCTTTTCTGGTACTTTTCTGGACTATTCTCCAAAATGAAAAACCTGTATTGTAGTTCTCTCTTTTCTATAACCAAATTATATAAGTGATGCCATAAACAGCATCATATTGCTGGTTCTGCCAAATGCTTCGCAAAACGTTTTTCTTAATTAATAAATTATACTCTATCAGCAATCAAAACTAGGCTTGTGAGCTGCTGTAAAAGCACATACACTTAAGCCTGTGTGTATCTCATTGAAAAGTTGACAGTGTTGATCACATCTATCACATTGAACTTAAAAATAATAATACCACAGATAAAATTAGGTTTGGTTCATTTCATTACTTGATAAGCACTAAGATATTAACAGTAATGATCGGTTAGAACTTTTAAAACTTTACTACAAAAGAATTTACTTGATTTTTTAAACATTGTTCTGGTTTTTTTACGTAGCAATAATCCAGCAGCATCTTCATTTGATATATATATATATCTCCCAGTTGATACGATATCTGAGAACTTGCGTTTTCTATCGTGATTTCGATCATACCTACTGTTTATAGCAAGTTATTGAACCAAAGTTTCGTAATTGTGAAATTAAAGTCATCTCTTCGAACGTTTTATGGAAACCATCATAATTATGTTGACCGTATAATCTGTTTGACTTCTACAAGTGAGAGGTTTATCTAGCTTAAAAACAAGGTTTAATTTTAAAGTCTCTATGTTAATTTTAATTTTGAGGTAGTAAATACTTAATGGAGTAAGTATAAATAGTCTAACACCCTTCCAATCAAAACAAAAACAACATACATGTGCTTTAAATGTCTGGATCATTACACCATGTGGCTTTATATATTTAAATATGAAAGGACCCCTATAACAATGAAAATAACTTATTTTTATTTTGATAACTTGACATATGAAGTTATTAATATAAAAGAAAATGCTCTATTCATTTTGATCTCATTCGCCTATTCTGTACTGTTATACTTGTTTATAATATATCTAACATTTTCTAATAGAAATTAAACAGTTATTTGATGAGAAATTAGAACAATTACATGACACCAAACTTAACTGAAATCCGTTTTTTTTTTTGCTGGTCAGTTGAGGTCAGGTAGATATTCAAATTTATAAAGTCACATGATACAATGGAACATACATTTAAAGCACGTGTTTGTTGTTTTTGTTTTGATTGGAATGCTGTTATACTATTTATACCTATTACTTCATCAAGTATTTACTAATAAAAAAATAAAAATCACAGAGACCTAATCGGTAATTTTTTTAATTATTGGCAAAAATTTATTAAATTATTAAACAGAGTTCGTTCATATCATATATTAATATACATTACAAAAAAATAATAATGATTTGAATAAATGAATTTTTAAAAACATTTTCTGCAAATATATAGAAGTCAAACGGACTATTATAGAATATCTGTTTCGAAGATGGCCGCTGATATGTTTGACTTGTCGTAGCACGATCGCGTCCTTCTTTCCTCGTTTTTTTACATCATAATTAGTTATTTGTGTGTCCTTTACAAGAAATGCTTATAGCACAAGTGCTATGTAGTTACCTGTTGAATTATTGATTAGTGAACCAAACAAGATAAGGTACATTGTGATATTAGATTAACATTTTGAGACAGCAATGTCTAACTAAGTGACCTTTACTTCTTAATTATAACTACAGCAAATTTGCTATTACTAACATTAAAATAAAACACTGTAATTTTCAGTGTATTAAAAATTAAACATAATTATATCGATATCAATATAGTTGATGTTTATGTCATATTATTATTATTTAAGGTTCTTATTCCAGGTGACACGTGTGTCTGATGAAAAATTCACTGTCTTCAATAGCAAGCATAAAACATATTGTAAGTTAAAGAAGTATTTATATTTCGTAAGTTCGATTTATTTAAAACAATGATATGAGCGAATTGTTGAGTATGAGTAAATATGATGCAAGTACTTTTTAAAACATTATGTTGATAAGATTTCTGTTTTATCGCAAATGCCTGAAATAGTCATTTGCAATTGAAAGCATGTTCCAGTTTGGTGCAGATACAGTCCTCAAATTAACAACCAATAGTCATTCTTAACTGATAATTTCTTCTTTTAATTTTACAGGACAATATGCAGCTTTTCTTATTTCTTTCAATAATGATTTCTTTGAGTGTGGTTTCACACTCGTCTTCACGTGATGGAATGAAAGATGTAAGAAGATCTTTATCGGTACGTTTCAGTTAGATCTGTTAAGTGAATATGATATTTACGATAAAATTAATTATGGATTTAACAACTCGCTAGAAACAACATTGCATGATTGAATCGAAACCTAAATTAGAAATGATATACGGCGGTTGATAACAAGTCTTTAATAACGATAACGGTGCAACAATATATAATGTTCATTACCACATTTGGTTCATATGGGAAATACATGTATCGACCTTTTTCTCTGAAATTAATACACAAATGTGATTAGTATGTACATGAATTATAAAAAAGGACAAACTGAAAATGTATGATTACTATTCTGATAAAAATAATCGATGGATTAACCATATGGGAAATACATGTATACAGTTTGAATAAAAAATCATAATTGAACTGAACTTTGGATTTGTATAAAAACAGCGTTTTCTCCTATTGGAACTAACTGTAAGGTAGCATCAATTGTCAGTAAATTCATAAAGTAAACAAATCATTTTATAAACATTAAAAAACAAAAAAATATAGATATTTTTCAACTTGTTAGAGCACAGTAAAGAATCATTTAAAACACCTAAAACATTTAATTGTCATAAAAATCCATGAATTCATATATTTTTTTAATTGACCGCCTTGTAAACATCGGACTCGGACTTCTTTTAAACTGAGATTTACTGTGCGTATTGCTGTGTGTTTGTTTATTCTACATTGGCTAGAGGTATAGGGAGAGGGTTGAGATCTCACAAAACGTGTTTAAGGCATTTTTGCGCCTGTACCAAGTCAGGAGCCTCTAGCTTTTGTTAGTCTTGTATGTTTTTTTTAAATTTTAGTTCATTTATATGTTTTGGAGTTAAGTGTGTCGTCCATTTTATTTGAACTAGTACACATTTTTGTTTAAGGGTCAGCTGAAGCCCGCCTACAAGTGCGGGGGCTTTGTCGCTGTGTTGAAGACCCATTGGTGGCCTTCGGCTGTTTTCTGCTCTTTGGTCTGGTTGTTTTCTCTTTGACACATTCCCCATTTCCATTCTCAATTTCAAATATTTGCTATGTCGCGTCAGTTTTTTTTTAAGCGTTATTTCAAAATCTGTTGATAAATAAAATTTTATGATAATATTTCGTGATTTTATGCCATATTTATTTGAAACAAATTTTTACCGAAGACCCACGATAGATAATACAATTTCAAACTAGATTTTTTACATTAAACGATACCAATTTTACAGCATCAAATGCATCAAATGCGCATTTGGACAAGTAATGTCTCTTTAGTAATACCCGAGGCCAAATATTTGAATACACACGTCAACGAGCTAATATAACTGAAAAAAAGACAAAAGTAAAGCCAAACTCGAATAAGTGATTCGTGCTATGCATGCGACATACATTCCTTATTTACAATTTATTAACTAATAAAAAAAATAAGGAGATGTGGTATGATTGCCAATGAGACAACTATCCACCAAAGTTCAAATGAAGTTAGTATTACAGTAAATTTCAATAAAACAATGTCCATATGGATCAACATGCAAGTATCAAGGTATTGAGTTTAACTATTTGATATCCCGCTATATTGTAAGTAATAACGTTTGATCTTATTACAGAGTCTTACTTATCAAGATTGCAAGGATATGATTAAAACTCCTGAATTCAATGACAACTACAGTACATGGGAAGAACAGATGTGTTTATATTGGTTGTATGGGTTTGAAAAAGAGGAAGCAGAACAGTTTGCAACTGATACTATTGAAGATGGAGATCTGGATAAAAATGGTGCAATTGACGGGGAAGGTAATCTTCAAGTATTGATTGGAATTTTATTTGGAAGTCCATTAATTACGCTATTAAACTGTTGTTCATTGTGAAACAAATAAAACGTTATTTGCAAATATATCCAATTAATTGGAAATATCATTTAATGCTATGAATTTCTTTTTCTGTGCATTTTTACTTTTTGTTGAAGCCTTACCTGATATATAACTCACAAACAAAAAATGAATATTTGCTTATAATTTCATGTCTTGATGTACCTTTTTCGACAGACAAATAGGAACAGTATTATGCTCTATATCTTCCTTTATTTATAGTATATCATGGTTTTTATTCCTTCTTTTTTTTCAGAATTGTATGGAAGACCAAACCCATGAAAGACACAGAATGTTAGTTTGGTTGTACCTTAAGGAAATAAAATTAATCTTGTGAAGTCTTCTTATATTTGTCGAACTTATTTTAAGATTATTCACATGTGTTTGATGCAGAAAACTGACAACTGTTGCGAGAATAAAAGGTGAATGATGGTGCAAATTCTTCAAAGGTTTTAAAGGGGTAAATTTTCATTATTGAAGAGCAAGGTGGTCAATTATAGAATGAAAATAATTGAAATTCACCCAGAACTAGACAGCTGAAGTTAACGAAGAAAGGAATTAAAACAAATAATGCTTTCAAACTATCTAATTTTGGAAATAGTAAATTTTCATTAATATTTTCATCGAGGTTTTGTTTTCACGCTTTGCGATTAGATTTGTTGATAACAGATACAAGAGTTTTCAAATTATCGTTCGCTTTATGGAAAACTCAGACTGTTGATCTAAGTTGTTTCATGGGGGTTGAATAGAACAGAAGTCCGTTGATCGATTAGTTACTGATATGTTGACTGTGAATTTAAAATAATGTTCCACAACTATGAATGATCATGTCAAGTTTCATATAAGACTTCGAATAGGTTTTTATAGAGCGGAAACGATTTGTGACGGACATACGGATGGACATACGGACGGACAAGCTTATTCTAATATATCTTGGTCTTCCTCCGATTACTCGGCGGGTTTCTAACTATAAAGGAGCGAACATTAACGGTGAACTTCTAGCAGAAATAGTTCAAGAACGTATAAGAAACTTTTTGTGTAGCAGATTTATCATTTTATGAATAACAAGGAATGAGCTGTTAAACTGACAGCAAAAAGTAAAATAACAAAAATACCGAACTCGAAGGAAAAGTCAAAACGGAGAGTCCTTTATCAAATGGCAAAATCAAAACCTCAAACACACCAAACGAATGGAAAACAACTGTCATATTCCTGTCTTGGTACTTGGTTTTCTTTCAGGCTTTTTTTATCTGCCTCATTCTATGTATATTTTCCAATCTATCAAGGACCATAACTTCTGAACAGCAAAAATGAAAATCGTCAATAACAAACTTGACCACTATTTTGTCGTCAGTAGCAGCATATCAAAATTCTGAGAGCATTTGTTAAACGGTTCATTATGAATGAAGTAATTGCACGGAAACAACATACAGTGCTATTTTTTCAATCTATCAAAAACCATATCGTCAGAGGTGAAAACCATCGATATCGAACTTAACGTCAATTTTTTCTTCAGTAACAAAATATAAGAAAAATATTAAAATTTTAAAAGCATTGGTCAAGTTGTGTTTCAAGTAATTTGCATTTTTGACGGTCGACATAATATGCCCTTTTCCAATATCTCACGGACCATAACTCCTGTATGGTAGAAGTGAAAATCGTCAATATTGAAGTTGACCTCATCAATAACAACATATTATGATTTAAAAAGCATTCGATGAACAGTTCATAAGTTATTGCGTGGAAAATGTTTGCAGCCGCCCGCCCGCCCGCCCGCCCGCCCGCCCGCCCGCCGTACTTCCGCAGTACTTTACTAATTTAATAACTGTACATTTGATTCGGAAAATCCAGTTAAATATGCAATAGTCAACATATATTTTTATGAAATTGCGAATGCTAATTTGTTCATTTTCTTCTTTGTGGTCTTTTGGTAGCGTGCGGAAGGTCGTGGGTCGATCTCTGCAGACTTGAAAATTAGGTAATTGTTGCTTCTCCGCTAAGCAAGTCACATTAAGGAGTAAAAGAAAAGACTGGTTGACCAGGAGTCAAAATAATTTGTCCTTTTATGATACTGTCATGCGGACTATTACCTTGTGAACTAGCACGCTAAAATTCCGGCTCAGTGTGTCGATCATGTACAAAACATGGTTCATATTTAAATCACAAAAACATGTTCTGGTCCAAAATTTGCATTTCATTTGCCGCTAGACTGCCATTCATCATTATCGTTTATATTCCGTAATACTTAACCGTCCGTTGACGATTTTTGAAATCACATTTTCGTAACTTTGACGCTCACATTCCTACTTGTCCTTGGATAAAGTTACGTTTCACCTAAAATATCCATTTACCAAAGAAGAAATCCCGGAAAATCATAGATCTCGTTTAATTCTTTTGTTTCTTTAGACTGTTATCCAAAAATAGAAACCTGTATCGTAGTTCTCTCTATTCGATAACAAAATTGCATAAGTGATCCTATAAACAGCCTTATATTGCTAATTATGCCGTTAGGTTCACAAAACGTCTAATTTACATCTATTCTATCAGCAATCCAAACAGGGCATCTGGTCTACTGTAAAAGCACATACACTTAAGCCTGTATGTTATCTTAATGAAAAGTTAACGTTTGACTGCAATGTTGATCTCATCTATCCCATTGAACTTGAAAATAATAATACAACAGATAAAGTTAGATTTGCTTCATAACTTGATTAACAAAAATATATTAACAGTTAACTCAACTTTACCACAAAAAAAATCTACTTGATTTTAAAACATTGTTCGTTTTTTTTTTGTTTTTTTTTTATGTAGCAAAAAATCCAGCAGCATCTTCATTTAATATGTATATATCTCCCAGTTGAAACGATACCCAACGACTTGCGTTTCTTATCGTTATTTCCGTCATACCTTAAATCAAGTTATTTAACCAAAGTTTCGTAATTGAGAAATTAAAGTCCTCTCTTCGAACATTTTTTCAGAAGCCATCATAATAAGGCTGACCGTAATAGAATATCGGTGTCACAGATGACCACTGATATTTTCCATTTGTCGTAACACAATCGCGTTTTTCGTTCCTAGCTTTTAAAATCATAATTAGTTTATTTTCTTGTGTGTCTTTTACGAGAAATGCTAGTGTTTGAAACCATATTAACTCTTATTGCTCAGATTGACTCCAAAATAATTTTTTGATAAATTTCTACCATTGACATTTGTCATTTGTATACATAAGAATTGATGGAGACGTTTTGGATTTACATCAATGAGACAGAAACCTAACAACAGAAAAAATAACAGTTCATTAGAGGTCGGAATATGGTATTAAAACAAAAAGGCAACATAATTTTATTCCAAAATACAATTCAGACAAAATTGATAAATCTTGCGTCATTTAAAAGGGTCCACATTTTTTCGGGTATAATACAAATACAAATACTAAGCATAAGTGCTATGTAGTCACCTGTTGAATAATTGATTAATGAAACAAACAAGATAAAATGCATTGTGATATTAGATTAACATTTAGAGACAGCAATGTATATTGTCTATATAAAGGTATTTTTACGTGCAAGTACATATACTGAGTGACCTTTAGTTCTGGTTTATAACTACGCCAAATTTGCTATAACGCACATTAAAATGGAACACTGTAATTTTCAAGTGAATTAAATATAAAAACATAATTATATCGATATCATTATAGTTGATATTTATTTCATATCATTATTATTTTAATCTGCATGTTAATCAAATTGACACTTGTGTCTGGTGAAAAATTATCTGTATTCAACACCAAGCATAATACATATTGCAAGTTATAGAAGTATTATATCTCGTATGTTCAATATTTGTAAAACAGTGATATGAGAGAATTGTTGAGTATGAGTAAATATGCTGCAAATACTTTTTAAAGCTTTATGTTGATAAGATTTCTGTGTTATCACAGATGCCTGAAATAGTCATTTGAAGTTAAAAGCATTTTTTTAGTTTGTTGCAGATACAGTATTCAAATTATCAATTAATAGTCATTCTTAACTTATGATTTCTTCTTTAATTTTACAGAGCAGTTTTTCTTATTCCTTGCAATTATGATTTCATTGAGTGTGGTTTCACACTTGTCTTCCCGAGAGGGAATGAAGGATGTAAGAAAATATTTATCGGTACATTTCACTTAAATCTGTGAAGTGAATCTAATTACATATAAGATATATTTACGATTAAAAAATTTTAAGGATTTTTTTTAACAACTGGATATAAAAAACATCGCATTATTGCTGCGAAACCTAAATTAAGAAAAAATATACGGCGGTTCATAACAAAAGCTATATTAACGATAACGGTGCATCAATATATGATGTTCATTACCACGTTTGGCTCATATGGGTAATACATGTATCGACCTTTTCTCTGAAATTAATACACAAGTTTGATTGGTATGATATATGAATTATAAAAAAGTACAAACTGAAAATGTATGATTTCTGTTCTAATCAATTTCATCGATGGTAGCCACAATAATCATATGAGAAATAGATCCATACAGTTTGAATAAAATTAATGATTGAACTTTTGATCTGTAAAAATAGGGGAAAAAATTGCGTTTTCTCCTTTTGAAACTAACTGTCAGGTATACATAACATTTTAGATACATTCATAAACAAAACATCAAACGGTAAAAGATATTTTTCAACTTGTTATAGAACAGTTAATATGAGAAAAATTTAAATGTCAATTACACTTAAAAACCCATGAATTCATTTTTTTGTTTTTTTTATTGACCGCCTTGTAAACAAGATTATGCTATGTCGCGTCAGATTTTTTTCAACGCGTTATTACCAAATCTGTTAAAAAATAAAATTCTGGGTTAATATTCGTCATTTTATGCCATATTCAGTTGAAACAAATTCTTACCAAAGACCCGCAAAAGATACTTCAATTCCAAACTAGATTTGTAACATTAAACGATACCAATTTCACAGCTACAAATGCGCATTTCGACAATTAATGTCTTCAGTGATGATCCAAATAATTGAAAAAACTTAAAGCCAAATACACACGTTAACGAGCTAATATAACTGAATAGGAGCAAATTTCAATAAAACAATGTCCATACCATCATGTAAGTATCGAGGTATTGAGTTTAACTATTTGATATACCACTGTATTGTACGTAATAAGGTTTGGTCTAATAACAGAGTCTTACTTATTAAGATTGCATGGATATGATAAAAACCCATAAATTTGAAGACAACTACAGTACATGGGAAGAAGAGGTGTGTTTATTTTTGGTTATGGTATGGGATTGAAAAAGAGGAATCAGAGCAGTATGCAACTTTATC